TAACAAACAAACAAACTTCCCGATACAACAAATTAGTGTCGCCTAATTCCCGAATCAACAGTTCAGCATGGAAGAGCGGAGCAAATAAGTAAAGTAGGCCTCATATAGTGGTTGAATCTAAGCAGTTTGTTTGGTTTAGATATATCGTCCTTCAATCACTATTAATAAACTAAAAAACGAACACTTTTTGAGATATCAAACTGATAAGTAAATTGTTTCAAAAAAATATTTGTATATGTATTTCAAATACAACTCAGTAGATGGCGCTACAAATTCCCTCTCGAAGCAAGAATTATTTCTCGTTTGTGTTAATTGTGTGAATATTAAAATATGAATATATTCCTTAAGAAATATTTTAATAATAAGGTCCTGTTTTCATTCGTTTTGTGCTTACCAATCACAATTAGAAATTTCCTTTTTACACAAGATAAGTGTAGATAAGTGTACGTGTATTAAACATAAACGTCGATAGCATTATAACTGTCCTTAATTAAATACGCTGCATTATGTGTGTGTATAAACAGAGATAAGAGATCAAATTGAGTTGGGATTATGTGTGATAAACACGTTGCAGCGCATACATTTTCGTTAGACATAATTTGAAAGTTCCCTCTTTCGCGCAAAATTGTAAACGGATATTTTGAATAGGATGGTATTAATTCAAAGTTTAATCCCTAACCCTTAACGCTAAAACGAGCAACACCTGGTCCAACGAGACGGTAAAAATTAGAGGTTAAGAAAAGTGTCAAATATATGAGAAAAATACGTTTTTTTCATTACTTACCATCCCTTTTTTTTGTGTCAAATAATCCACCAATTTTAAGTACAAAGTGACCCAGCTCATAAGACCACGTGAGAATGAAAACGATCACAGTAAGTCTGGTATTATGGTTGGAGATGCCTTCTAGTGGCACAGTGGTATGTCTGCGGACTTACAACGATAGAAACCGTGGTTCGATACCCGTGGTGAGAAGAGCCCATTGTGTAGCTTTGTGCTTCACTTTAAAGAAAAAAAAGAAAACATGGCTGGAGTTTAGACCTACCACCGACCCAAAAATATTTGCATTGCGTGATATTAGTTTTATAATTTATTTTAAAAGATAATAAACATTTTATTAACTTTGTTTCAAATACTTTCTCTAGAAAGAACCAACACACTTTGATAAATAACAAGTTTCACTTTCGTGTTTTACAGAGGGTTAAGTAAACTTTATTAAAACAATTTTGAATATGCCAAATGAGAAGTCACGTGACAACCACAACGTAATAGAATAGCGTTGCATAGATAGTGTGATGCCACCGAAAACCGACGGTTTTTGAGAAGAATGCGTAACAGCCCCCTTTCGGCGCAAAATATTCAAACAATTAGATCAACGATGCGTTTAGATCGTGGATTTAGAATTTTAAAGATAGAAATACGTCCTATACTTGATGGCACTTGAAAAACAAAGGAATATGTGTCAACTTTGGACACCGAGACCTTCCAAAGTGAGATCTGCGAAAAGTCGTACCCTGCATGTGACAAGCAAAGTGCAACATCTTGTAACAGATGAAAATTCACTAACAAAAAGCCATCCGTCTACGAGCCCCAGGCAACAGAGAGAAACATAATAAAAAAGGATCTTCATTTGGAAAAGCGACACAAGTTAAAGAACCTTAGGGTTGCTTAATCATATCACAGTAGAAAACGAAAATTCCGTAATCTAAACATTTAAAAAAAAGTAAAAATACACATTAATTTCAATATAAATATAAATCAAGAAAAGATACGTGTATTTGATTTGGTACTAAAGTAAAATTCTTATAAACTTGTGTTTCTTTCACTAAGAGAGAGACAGAAGATTGTTAATGTAATGTACATCACCGACGTCAAAAACATGGTGGTCGAATCCCCGTCCCACCAAACATGCTCGCCCTTTCAGCCGTGGGGACGTTATAATGGTACGGTCAATCCAACTATACGTTGGTAAAATAGTAGCCCAAGAGTTCGCGGTGGGGATGACTAGTTGCCTTCCCTCTAGTCTCCCACTGCTAAATTTGGGGATGGCTAGCGCAGACAGCCCTCGTGTAGCTTTGCGCGAAATTCAAAACAAACAAACAAACACTGTTGTTGGTGAAGAAGTGTTTTTCAGTAACTGGAATATTTGTTTGAAGAATAAACTGACACATTTAAATGAAAACTTTTTCTAGTTACATTTTCTGCCACGTTTCGGGAAGAACTCCTTCGTCAGGCAGTAAAGACCCCTTTATCTCTGCTTCATACAACATTTCACTTCTAGTCTGTAAACACACGTTTATTAAGATTATCCTATTACTGAGATTTGTTAATTAAAATTAGATTTTATTTCCTGGTCTGTTCGTGTTGAATAAAACTCTATAATGACAATGGTAATATTTAAGTTAGAAGGCCTTTCCACAATTGACTTCTTAATAGTGAGTATCGTGGTTGGACCAGAAAAACTATACTGGGTTTGTTTAGAATTTCGCGCCGTCCCTAATTTAGCATCGAAACACTAGAGGGAAGACAACTATTCACCACCACCCACCGCCAACTCTTGGGCTACCTCCTTTACAAACGAATAGTGGGATTGACCGTCACAATGTAACGCCCCAACGGTTGAAAGGGCGAGCATGTTTGGTGTGACTGGGATTCGAACCCGCGACCCTCAGATTGCGAGTCGAGCGCCCTAACCACCTGGCCATGCCGGGCCGAATAACGAAATTACCATACATATCAGCTTTTGCTTCAATGCTGGACTTAACCGGACCAAGTGAAGCATTGGTTACTGTTTATGAAATTCCCTATATTGTGTGTTGTAACAGATCTCTATCGAAGATTTCGAAGTAGCTTCTCCTTCTTAGTTCCTGTCGTTCCTAGTGGAACATAGGGCTACAACAACACTTCGCCGACGGAAATTGTTATCGGGGTGGAGTTGCTAGCCCCATGCCCAACTGGGCATGTTTGGTGCGACAAGGACGCGAACCCGCGACCCTCGGATTGCGAGTCGAGTGACTTATCCACCGGGCCATGCCGGGGCCAGCTTCCCCTTAGAAATATAAAATAAAAACAGCTAACACATCGGAAAGTCAATTATAACAGCGTCAGTTAAATACAGTTGTTGTTGTTGTTTTTACCACACAGCAACACAATGGGCTTTCTACGCTTTGTCTACTACGGGAATGGAACCCTGGATCTTAGTGTTCTAAGTTCGTAAATTTTCCACTGACGTTCCGTGAGACCGTGTGTGATAGGATGTCCTCCGGTGACAACGCTAAAATCCGGGGTTCGATTCCCCGCGGTGGACACAACAAATTGTCCAATGTGGCTTTGCCCTAAAACGAAGTACCAACAGAAATATGAATTACGTCAGTTTATTTGCCCGTAAGTTCGAGTGCAGTTTGGTGGAAAGTTTAAAATGGTTAAAATATTAGCCTGCAATATTTGTAGGGGAAATTGATATATTTTCTTCACATATCGTATTATGGATTACTTATAAAAGTATCCACTTTCACTGTAGTCTTGTAGTTGGCGTACAGACTTGCAGCTAGGAAAGTCCAAGGTTCAAGTCTCGATATGCTGCCGATCACGTTTCACATTACTGATAGCTAACTTTCCTCTGATAAGAATACAGTTTCACTAAATCACAATTTTTAGCTTCTTATTATGTCGTTTTCCTTTGTGCTGTTAATCTCCTAGTGGCTCAGAGATAAGTCTACATGCTTAGAACGTTAACATTTGGATTTCGATACGTGCTGAGTAACTTCGCGCTTAACAACAACCAAACTTTTTTTGTGCTGTTAAAGAAAGACGAGACAACAGTAAGATCTTTTCTTAAAGGGTTTGAAGCATGAAACTGTTATTTATTTTATACATCTAACTTAGAGGTTTCCTCACAACGCTAAAATCCAGGATTCGATTCCCCACAGTGGACATATTGCAAAGGTTTACGTTAAAACGGCAATTCGAGGTTTAATATTTCTGTTCTTATTGTTTATTACTAAAAAGAACCAATGATTTAAATAGTGATCACAAATAAAGACTTAATTAATTGAATAATTTCAAATGGTTTTAGTGATGTTTTAAAATTGCTTGTTTGTTATCCGTACTCTTCTTTAGAATTAAAATAAAAGTTAGCACCGAAATTTCAAAAATTTATCACAAACATCGTGCATTTTATTGGAACGTAGTTTTACTGCTATTTGTGCCACGCTCAACGTATTTTGAAGAATTGATTATTTTCAACAAAGTACGTTACTGATTTAGAGGGGATAGTATTACGTAACTTCGATCAATTTCGTTTTTGTTAGTGCCCTCTAGTAGCAACAGAGAAAACCAGAAGAATCAACAACCAAGGACGTTTGAGGGTCGTTCAAAACTACGGAGAACGCAGGAGGTGGTGGTTCGCGTCTTTTATGCCGTTACAAATAGTGTAAAGTAATGGAGCCCACGCCAGCAATTTTATAGAAGGCAAGTGTACTTCCAGACTTGACGTTTGTTAAGGAAGCCAGACTGTGGGATAATTTTAACAGCTAAGGAGGCTTGGGTGACAGCCAGTACACGGGTGTTCTAAAAATGACGGAATGGAACTTCGACGTGTGGCATCTCCCGTGTAGTCTGAGCTTGGCCAGTTGCCGGTACCATGCAGAAGCACTTGCACGCAGACTGCACAGTAAACTGTGGTCCGCGGGAAGATTTGGAAACAGTGAGGATTCTCACTTGGGAGGTGAGTTAAGTTGTGACACTTTTAGGCTTACGAATTCATTCAATGAACATTCTGTCATTATTCCTGTTATAAATAAGGCTCCCGTTTCTAAGCTAAGTCCAGTCTCAAATACAGTGGACATTGAGGGCTGGAAGGAAACTATGTTTACCTGTGAAGATGAACTGTGTAATCCGGAGGACGACTCATCACCACCAAGTCCAACAGGTGAGAATATTGTTGTTAATAAAGCTGTCAACTTGATAGGAGCTATGGATTCTAGCGATAAAACGCAGCACAGTCCTAAAACGGTATATTCTCACCCGTGTGGATCTAGGGCTATCGGGGAATCTTGGCGCGAAAATGATTTCCGACATGCTCAAGTAATGGATCGAAGCAAAAGACAAATTCTCTTTGAAAAACTTCAAAAATACGCAGAAAGCTGGTCGTTATCAGAACCGGAAACCGGCACTTCTGCACGGTTTTATGATGTTGACAGTGGCAGCGATAGTGTTGAGGAGTTGGATCTAAATGGTCTCAAGGATGAAAGCGAAATTCTTCATGTTTACGATGGGCAAGAAGACGACAGAAATGTAAATAAGTCTTCCGACCCTTCAAAAGAAAACACGCTTACGTCACTTCAGAGAGGCCCAGAAGAGCCGCCCCATGACTGTCCAATTTCTTTAGTAACTGTAAATGAAACGATCACTAACTCAAACTCGATGGGGGACAGTGGCATAACCTCTCCTACTAGCGCTGATCTTGAAACATGCAATGGTCCTAACAAGAAAAACTCGACTCTTGATAGCACTGCATTTAAAAGTAAAGAAGGTGAGTCATCAGATCTTACAGACTGTAGCTGTAGATTATCTCAGGACATCAATTATCACGATGGTAAGGAAGGTAAGTCATCAGATCTCACAGATTCTAGCTGTAGATTATCTCAGGACACCAATGATCATTATGAGGAATACGAAAATGGTTTAGTTGAAAACACTACAGAATCTGTACTTACTAGAGAAGGAACCAGAAAAAGTCTTTACAGTAGTGTTGATGAAAGTGTACAAACTTCGGACCCCGATTCTCTAAATCGACTCTTGGAGGAAAGCTCACAGAATGAAAAATCCGAGCACGTAGAATCAAAATGGAATGCTTTGAATGGCCATGAAGAAGAAGAGGATAGTGGTAAAAAACTTGTTCGAAGTACTTCTCTCAAAACCGGTAAAACACCCCCTGGAACCCCAAGTAGAAAAAAGATCGTGTGCTTTGCTGATGCTCTAGGGCTTGACTTGGAGGCCGTGAGACATATAGGACCAGAAGACGAGGAACTTAATATTCCAGCATCTGCATTCAGTGACTTAAAGGTTTCGTCACATACTTCTGGTCGCTCTTCCACCAGTTTGATCTCGCAAACCAACCCATTCGCTTGTAGCCTTAATGTGCACAAACCTTCTCACAGCAGTTGTACATTAATCCCTCTATTCCCACAGCCCATAACACGAAATGATTTTCTGGATCGGATCCGAAGTCAGAAAATTTGTCTGGAAAATATCATCGCATCGGATTTGAATGTGAAGTGTCATGTTCGCGTTCTCAATATCTCTTTCGAAAAGCTCGTACTAGCCCGCTACACAACCAATGAGTGGTTAACTTATGATGACGTTCTAGCGAACTACGTCCATGGATCGTGTGATGGGTGGTCAGATAAATTTTCCTTGAATTTTTTGGTTCCTGGTATGAGTCAGGGCCAGCGGCTAATTTTTGCTGTTCGGTTTTTGGCCAACGGTCAAGAATTTTGGGATAATAACGATGGTAAGAACTATATATTACGCTGCCACAGCCAAAGTTCTGGAGTTTTTGGACCACTGACTGAAGGAGGTCCTCCTTGGATGCACCATTTTATGTGAAGATATGAGCTATCTTAGTTTCGTGTAAGATATGAAACTTTAGTCTTCGCTAATCATGTGAGTGGGCATAATCTTACACAAAAGAAGGTTTAAAATGCGAGTATTTACCTTTTTTTTGGGGGGGGGGCAATGCTGATAGCCCTATCCATATAAAATTGGATTATAATATTTAATTAAGTAGATGTAATATGGCCTAGATTTACAAGATATCTAAGTGTACAATATAAAAAAAATTTGAAAACGAGCGAAAATAATCCAGAAAACAAACAAATCCCTACACAGTGAGTAGTCGTCAAATACACGGATGGAGATGGACGGTGGAGAGTAGTTAAGACCGTGTAATACATTTACTGCTAACTTTCTGCCATCTTTCTCATTTTGCCTTTCGGACTGTTTATGTTTGGTTCGTTTTTCCATTGAGGAAACGTGAATTTAAAACACTTGATGAATTGATGTAGAATAGAAATAGCTAACTAGTAAACTAAGTCTGCCTACTTATTAATGTCATAATATATCTGTAGTGTTATGAAACATTACGCTGTTTTTCTTGTAAAGAAAAAAAGAGCTACTTTTACGCTTTAAAATATGTCAAAAGTAAGTATAAAGAATAACGTATTATAAATAAAAGTACCATGATAGTGTCAAGGTAAAACGGTGTCTAAAATCTAACGTACTAAAAATATGTACTTGTTTGCTTGTCTCGGATGGAAGCAGTGGATTGGAAAGTCGTGTGTTATATAAAAATGAAATAATTAAATGATCTATTTCCGTCTGAAATGTTACAAAATATATTTTTGTTATCATCTGAAGATATGTTTTAAGGTCTTGTAAATGTAATCTCATATACTATATTCGTTCTGATGTGAATGTTTAAAGTGTTATTTAGGTTATCAGGTTGTTTAATCCTATTATTAGAATATTCACGGGAGTAGTGTACTTTCATTTAGCGTATTGAGATTGTCACGTACACACAGATTTTGTTAAATTACTGTTGTTAGTATCGAAACGTACAAAAAATACACCACGTTACGAATTTCACGCTGAAAAAGTAACAGGAATGTGCTCGTGATTCTGAAATGTTACATTGACAGTTGTTTTGTTATTAATTAAGTAATGGAATGTAGATATGTATATCACGTTATTAATTTCAGATTCTGAAATAAAAGGAAACATTTTTTCGTTAAGACTAATACGTGAATCTACGAGAAGTTTAACTGTCACATTATTTTCTGGGAATTATGAAGAATGATGATTCACGTGGAGGGTATAGTTTCTGTTAAAGGACCAAACCTCCACGTGCCTTTAAAATGCACGAGTGTGAAACACTAAAAATAACTGCGTAAAGTTAGTTGATCCAAAAAAGGAAAGAATGATAATATATGGGTGATTATTTAAAATGGAAAAGTTTGTGTAATTATGTAACACGTGAAATATTTCCCTCTGAAATTCGGTTGTGTGTACAGATAATATTCAAGATTGTGCTAAAACAAACAAACGTAATAAAAGCTACATAATTGGCTACTATATGTCCTGGATCCGCCGCGAAGGGATCTAACCCTGAGTTTAGTATAATAAGTCCTGAAGTTTATCGCTGATCCACCAGTGGGTCACAAGAGTGATTAAGATATTATTCATTACAAAAGTTCACAAGTAGTCGTGATTATATAAAAAAAAATGTTGAATTATGAATAATTTAAAACCAGGTATTCCACGTGCAACGTCAAAATGTTGAATTATGAATAATTTAAAACCAGGTATTCCACGTGCAACGTCAAAATGTTGAATTGTGAATAATTGAAAACCAGGTATTCCACGTGCAACGTCAAAATGTTGAATTATGAATCATTTAAACCCAGGTATTCCACACGAAACGTTATGTAAATTCGTTTCCAGTGTTTTTAACTACATGAGTTTTTAATAAGAACAGCTTGCATTTTATACTGATTTGTTTTTTTTACCCTTAATGCTAGAATTACTGGTATCGATATGAAAACGAACATTGAATTGTAATATGTATTTAAACGTTAATAACGAGTCTTCCATCCTGTTGTTGTGTGAGCTAATTGATATACCAATTCCTATTTTTAAAGAAGTTTAACACTAATATAAACAGATCTCTCTCTATATATATAAGGTGGCTATAAGACATGTATAATCTTCAATGACAGAGTTCCTATGTCAAACAGATTTAATTTATGAAAATGAAAATATAAGACTACGTATTCTTTAAATATTATGGTGATATTTACTGTTATATGGGTATGTGTATAATAAAAACATAACATCTCCATATCTGTTCTATAAGCAACTTAATTTCGTTTCATTATTATTACATCGACTGAATTACTTTCATTGTTTTGTTTCACAATATTAACTGTTACACTTACGTCGATTGAAAACAACTTTCACAATATTAACTGTTACACTTACGTCGATCGAAAACAACTTTCACAATATTAAC